CGCTTCCAGAGCACTTAGAGTGTCTCTCTATGACAATGCTTAGAACAGTGGCTGTGACTCTACACGTCTGTCCTGCCACCAGGCCAGGCCATGAGCTCCTGGGAATAAAGGGACTAGGTCTTATTCACCTTTGCATCCCCACAAACAAGCCCAGGGCCTGGCAGTCAGAAGCCCCATCATAAATGCTCCATGCCCCAATCAATGCCTGGCCCAGTTAGCCCCATCGTCCCTTCGCTGTGCAAAAACGGGTCGTGCGAAATGTGACATGAGTAAAGGCTTTGGAGTCACATCCCGTGCCTGAGCCCTGGCCCCTGTAGGACATGAGCAAGTTATTGAACCCATATCTGCCTCAATTTTCTTCTCAACATGACAAATAGCAATGCTCACCTCTCAGAGGGCTGCTGTGAAGGACAGACAAGGTAAAATATCTAATGCCAGTGCCTGCCCAATGGAAAGAGCTCAAGATGCATTTCCTTGAGCTCAGTGGGAAATGCTGAGCCAAAGGAAGTCCTAGAGAAACAAGTGAATGGCTTCCGTTCTGGTTCCCGGGCCATCAATATAATGATGGTGTGGCCGGCCTTTAACCCAAAGCACCCTCTCTCAGAGCAAGGGAAGTACAGGCTGTCCTCAGTCCACGCCCTGCGTTTGAGAGTCTCAGAACGAGGCCTGCTCAGCAACAAAGGTGATGTTTATCTGAATGACAAACCCACAAGAGGCCACTACTGCTGAGGCTAGGCCACCGTATCCTTCATTTCCTGTCTTGAATTAATCTTTCACCCCAAGACATACCATAAAACGGAATAATGCTGACTCAACAGCGTTAAGTCATTAAAAACGAGCCAAACAGCCCACACATGAGAAGAAGCCTTGAACTCTCCCAACGTTGCACCCAAGTTTTATTAGGCCTCCATAAACAAAGAGGTGGGAGCAGTGGGGGCCCGCTAACACCTTAGACAATCAAGCTCAGGGCCAAAGAGAGGAGTGGAAAGTGCAGTGGCTGAACCCAAGCGAGGATGCAACATGGCACTGGGGAAAGAGACACTTCATCTGCTGTTCATGATTCCCAAGGTTGGAACCAGGAGACTAGGCTTCCATCTCAGTCCTACCACTAGCTTGCTTTACGGGTCTGCTTAAGTCATGTCTCTGGGGCTCAGTTTCTTTGCCCATAAATAGGAGAATTGGATTCGATGATCTGTAAGCTCTTTCCAGCTTTAACACTCTAAGACCCTAAGTCCTCGAGACAGAGCCGCCTGCCTCAACCTTCCCCCATTCTGTGTTAGTGTCTGTCTGCAGCATCTCTTACTCATACTGAGCAGACTTCTACCAACGCTTTATTGCTCAAGAGTGTCTGGCCACCCCTGACCACAGAGCCTGGCCAGGGAAGAGGAGGATAAACTTGGGGCCATATTCTTAAGAACATGTATGGTACCCTCTGGTCAACAAGAGTCCAGGTACCTTGAGGCATCAAGAACTTGGTTATCCCAACAACCCCCAATTATCTCCGTTGGCTTTTTTCCACCCCGGGATTTTTCCCACTCCCCTCCTACACCAACCTACACCCCGGAAGTCCCCAGCACTCTCAAATGTTAGATTTTTCCCCATGCTGCTGGGCAGGACACTAGGACAGTCACAGGCGGTATTTATCTGCATGCTGGCATATCTCAGGATGGGGCAGGGGAGAGGTGGCAATGCTCCAGAGGCCAGGAGAAAAGTGCCTACCAAAGCAAGCTCTAGCCACGTGAAGAGGAGATGACCTGGAGGAGACACGGTGCCAATCACGAGGGCACACAGAGTGGGCACTGAGAACCACAGATGTCTCGGAGGCTCCTTTAAGGTACCACCCAATCTTCTGTGCCTGCTGTATTTCCTTAATAAGAAATCTGAGGGCAGGTGATGCTCTGTGACTGGCTCAAGGCCAGGCAGCTAAGCTGTGAACAACCAACACCAGAACTGTGGGTCTTTTGGTCTCAGCCTTCTCTTTTTCCCACTCTACTCCATTGACCTCAGGATCTAATGAGGTAACTCTAAGGAGGCCAGCTGGATCCCCTGCAGACTCTAGGAAACACGACCCAAGAGTCACTTAGGCAAAGAGCAGGCCCAGCAGATCTTCTGATAACTGCCTCCAGCACCCCATGCATTCTTTCCCGACCTGATGCGGTCTGTTTGTTCTTTCTCCAGCCCTCGACACAAAACCTTGGGGAGTTCAGAGGTCAGTGAGAAGGGAGAAGTGGGCCTTCCTGGCCCTACAGAACCCTAAATCCCCAAGATAACCCACAACCACCCCTCTTCTTTGGTCTAGGGGAGGATGATGGTGAGAAGTGGCCGAAGGAGATGGAATTAACCCGGGGAAGTCTGACCTGATTAGGCCCCGAGAATAGACCACGGGCAATTACATGGGTCATCTGAAAGTTTATGACAACAAACAAGAGGATCTGTGTCTGCCAGGGGCCTTTCAAAGATCAGTGTCAAACAGATCACCTCAGCGTCAGGAGGAGGAAGCTGAGCAAAAGATTCAAGGAATTAATTATTCAGTGTGCATGACCCAGTTCCCGGAGGTGAGGCTGGGCAAGAAGAGAACTTACAGTTCCTTATCATGGCAAGAAATTCAACACTTCACAGCGTAGTGTTTCCTTTGTGCCAAAGATCTATTTATGGTTAAGAACACCCTCCCCCTAAAAAAAGGGAAAAATAGAGCCAAAGTTCACTCATTCAACAAATATTTATTGAGCTCCTCTTATGTCCCAGCCCTCCAGGGATTTACATAGGGTCGGAGCTCAGTAGACTAGAAACAGCATGGAATTTATAAACAGGAGGCTGGAGCTGCGTCCCTGCTGAGCCCTCAGGCTGCTACATTACCCTGGGCAGGTTACAGCGTGTCTAAGTCAGATTTCTCATCTGTAAAATGGGAGTAAATCCACCTGCCTTATTACGAAGATGAAATGATCTTCATAAAATGTAAAGTGCAACATAAACCCAAGGTGTAAACAATAATGATACAATACTCACGCTTTCCCTGCCCTAGAGAAGCTTATAACCTGGTCATGTTTTGGAAAAGAATCCAAGGTACCTATTTGGCAAATATCGCATTCTCTGTAATTTGGGCAAAGTGTATGTTTCAACCTGCCAGTGGAGAAGGAGCCTGAAGTCAGCCCCAGTCCTCAGACCGTGTGCCCAGGAAGCAAAGAGCTAGAGTCAAAATGAAAAGAGTAGCCAGGAGTTACCTGGCTCTCTACCAAACCTGGACTGAATGAAAGACCCGGGAGACCCCTAAGACCGAGAAGCGGAGAAAAGACCAGCTGGAAGTGTGGTCTATCAGAAAAATTCATTTGAGCACAATAGGAATGAGCCAGCCAGAAATGCACATGCCTCCCTCTCCATATGCATTTCAGACAGTGATGAAACTCACTGTCCATTGCCCAACCCTCCTCTGTGGACACACTCTGCATTCTGTGTTTCTCCGGGAAAGGGATAGCCACAGTAGACTGGCTATCCAGGACCTCTTTGCCCAGATACTAAGAATCACAGCTACTGGAACAGCTTTCTCCGTGGTCGAGTCAACCCCTTCTCATTCTGCTGTTCAGGATCTCAACATGGACTCCTCACCCACCGTGGATCCTCAGTGCCCACCAGGCCAGCCTCGAAATGCCCAGACATGGCTGCTTGCTGCCCTTCCACTGGGGGCTCCAGCCTGCTCCAGCTTTGGATTGGGCCCTGATGCTCCCTCCCCTCCTCTCTCCCTCTCCCTCATCCAGGCCCTCATCTGTCTCACACCTCAGGGAAGCTCTATGTTCCCTTTAACTCAGGCCATTCTGTAAGTTCTTCATCCTCCTGCAAATGCAGAATGATGGTCCCAAACTGTTCTCTGCTTGCTGTATACAGAAGGGAGGCAGAGGAGGAGGGAGGGGGAGTGGAAAGTGCTAGACTGGGAGTCCAGGGCCTGTGATCCAGTTCTCCATGTGGCTCTACTTAGTTATGTAACCTTGAGAAAGCATCTTCAGGCCAGGCCTCAGTTTCCCTACATGATAATGAAGGGTTGGTGCTAAATAATCTCTCGGTTTTCTCTAATTACAAAATTTGGTGTTACAGAAACCAGACCAGCCTGGCCACAGGACACGTGCATCCCGGTCCTTATTAGCTACAGCCTGGGGCGAGTTAGCTCACTGCTCAGAACTCAGTCTCCAAGTCTGCAAGCTAAGGAGGATGAAATGACTCCCCTCCCAGGGAGCCAGGCTCCCAGGAGACACTGTGATGGAGCTCGGGGAGCCAAAAAGCCCTGAAGAAACCTCAGGGTTGGAACTCCTTCAGTGAACAAACAGCTGGGGACCCCCTGCCACGTGCCCGGTTTTGTGCCTCCAGGATGGCTCAGACAAGAAGTTTGGAGGACGGGCCCCTGCCCTCAAGGCTCCCACAGCTGGTGGGTGAGATGGACAAGTGAACAAGCTTTAGCTCAGCTGATGACGTGTCTGAGGTCTGAACTAAGCGCTATTGAGTGTGGAGGAGATAGAGGCACCGACGCTGCCAGGCAAGTGAGGGAAGCTTCTCAGAGGGCACAGCTGTCCCGCAAGCAGAGATCTGTTCCTGGAGTTGTGGGACTGCAGCCAGGGCAGAGGAGAGGCGGGAAACGAGGCTGGAGAGTGAGGCTGAGGTCTGACTGAGGGGCCTGACAGGAAGCAGGACAGCTGAGCTGCTGGTCTGACTCGGGGGAAGATGGGGCAGAGATGCCACCCAGGCAAAGACCACCGAGTCACACAGGTCTTCAACGTGCCCGGCAAATCTCAGTCTTAAGGCTCCCTTCCTCCTCTGACAGCACGGGAGGGCTGTGCAAACTTGGAAGTTGCAGGCAAAGACGGAGGGCTCTCACCAGCCATTGCTTCTCCAAATGGGGTCATGTTCACGGGTCTTAAAGAAAGAGGGCACGCTCCCCTACACTTTCCAAAGCCTGAAGCCAGCCCCCCAAGAGCGATTCGATGCCATCAAAGAGATCTGACACTGTGACTTACTTGATTCTCAGGCATTGCAATGACTAATGTCATCTCCTTCCAGGACGAGCCATGCACAGGTTGCCATGTTCCTTTAAAAACAAGAGCCCAACAAGGAATGTCAGTTACGTTATCTTACATTACAGCCTCCTATCTTCTCCCACAAGAGGCCCCACAAGCTGTCTGCTCTGCCCCTAGGAACACTTCACCCAGCAAGAGGAAATAAAGGATTTCTCTCCATGCTTCAAGTTTTGCATGTGAAGAAAGGAATAGTGAGATGGTGAAACAAATTCTATTGTCTGCCACCGTCTGGGACCCTAATGGCTTACCACATCTCTACACAAAGGCCTAGAGAAAGCAAGATGGATCTGGAAAAGAATGTTTTACTAGCTGCTTTAGTAAAAATAGAAAATGCCAGAATTTCTAAAGCTTAAGACACAATGAAAGTAAATCAAGCTGGTGTAAAAACTTGCTATTAATGTGAAATTTGTCATATTTCCTAGGATGGAAATGTCCAAAATGCTAAATAAACTAGGAAGTTATAAAAGTGGACCATCTGATCATGGCTGAATTTCCTAAACAAATTATTATTTTGGCTTCCAATGACCGCCCAAATGATTTGGTTACATCCTACTGCTTCTGCAGAAAATGACCCGACATCTGTTTGAAAAATGGAGCCCGAGACATTTCTAAGGATTTACTTTCACAGTTTCCAATTTTAAGAGGTAGCCTCCAGAGGACAAAAACTAGGGCCGGCCCAGTGGCGCCGTGGTTAAGTGCACATGTTCCGCTTTGGCAGCTCAGGGTTCCCCGGTTCGGATCCCAGGTGCGGACCTGTGCACCACTTATCAAGCCATGCTGTGGTAGGCGTCCCACATATAAAGTAGAGGAAGATGGGCACAGATGTTAGCTCAGGGCCAGTCTTCCTCAAAAAAAAGAAAAAAGAGGATAAAAACTAGCACAGATGTGAAATTGAGATCTATGAGACAATACCCATACAGCACGGCTGTCCACACCCTTGCTCAGCACACCTGCTCACACAAACACACGCATATTCTCTCTGGTACACAAAGACTTGCATTTAGAGCCCAGGAGTCGGGACTCACTGTTCAGAATTCTCAGACTGTTGACGGGAAAGAAGCAAGTATTTACTGAACACTGGCCGTGCAGGGAACAAGCCACGTTAGAGACGAGACTTGCTTTGTCTCAGTGGCTTCTCACAGACTGGAACAGAGGCCTGGAGAGCAGAGGACACTTGCCAAGGCCCCACGGCACGGCTGGTTCAAACCCAGGCCTGGCTGACCCAGCACTCACGGTCTCTCCCACCACACAGAGGTGAGAGGGTTACTAGCGTGGCTGTGATGAGCCTGTACACCCCGAAAGTGGCCTGGCAAGCTCCAAGGGCAGCCACCTGGGCAGAAGCCACAATCATCCCGGTCATCATCCTCATTATCAAGCCACACCTCTCCGGCCTGTGGCAGCTGACAAACAGGCTGGCCCGCCCTGGCCACATTCCAGCAGCCTCAGCTGTAGGCTCCGTGCTGCTGCCTCGAGCTGAAGTCAGAGAGGCTGGAGGCCTCCACTTATCTGTCCCCTGCCTCTCAAGGGAACCTTCTGGGTGCAGCAGGTGGGGAAGCTGCATATCTTGGTGCAGAATTCCACTGTCGGTGTAACCAGGTTTGAGAACCAGGGGCCTCCCTGTGCTCCTAGATCTCAGGATCAGAAGCCCCTCCCCACCCTGGGACATCGCTGAGACTGACAACAGGGAAACGGGCTCTCTGAGGTTCTGCTTGGGTCACATTCCCAATAGGCCTGGGCACATTGGGATCCAGCCCCTCCAAGGACCAACTCGTACCCTCTGCCTGACCAACAGCCGAACACCCTAACTCCACTAAGCCAGGAGGTCCCCACCAGCCTCCCCACTCGAGGGGCCTCAGTTTCCTCGTAAAATGAGGGGCTTGATGTAATTGATGACTTCCTCACCAAGGACCCCTTCTAGCTGCCCCCTCCATGGGCCCCGACTTTTAGAGACACCCACAAAGCTAGTCAGTTATTAAAAAGAGAGAGAGGGGTTAACCACGTGCAGGCACTATGACAGGTGGTTAGCATGTGCTATCTCAGATAATCCTCCCAGCAACCCCGTGAGGCAGCCCAGTCATGTTACAGAGGGCGAAACTGAGGCATAGCACAGCCAGGTGCCTTAGCACCAACCACAGCAGCCTGGACTCACGGTCCAGCCGGCCTGAGTCTATGCTCATGTTCGCTCCCCAACCCAAGGTTTCCCTTTGTAATCAATCAGAAGGAGAAACAATGTCCCCTCTTGGACAGGACATCATGCCAGTCCCCAGCAAAGAAGCATGAGGCCTCCAGGCCCCTAGAGGCCTGACTTAAGTGATGCAGGAAAGGTTTCCTTTGAGCTTGAGTGGCCTCATGGATCCCAAGGGACATGAGAGGAACTCAAGGGACCCTCCTCTCTGCTGTTCTCTGACTGAAGGACCCCAAGCACTTGGAACAGGGCCTACCACCCACAAGGCACTCCATCAATATTTGTTGAATGGAAGGATGAAGAAATCCAGAGCTTAGATGCACTGAAGGCTTATTCAAGACGCTTTGGTGTGAGTTAGCGTAAGACACATCAAGACCAGCTCAGAACCACAAAGCTGGCCCCTAGGGCAGCAGTGTGTGCTAAGCAGAGGTCTCCATACTCCAGCCCCCCGGACAGAGGACGAAGGCTCAGATGCCGACCCAGGTCTGCTCCTCGTCCCAAACACCCGATAGATCAAGACAGGTATCTAAATGTGAAGGTTATCCAGGGGAGCGGTCTCGAGCTCAGACCTGGAATCAGCCAAACCTGGGTTCCTACCCGAGCTGTGTCACTGTAAATTAGCCAGGTGGCCCTGGGAAAGTCATATTATCCCTGTGAGCCTCAGTTTCTTATCTAAAAATGGGAATAATATTAGCACGTACTCCGCAGGGCTGTGTGAAGATGAAATGAGACAATGCTGTAAAGGACGCAGCCCAGTGGGAAGTTCAGAGTAAGTGCTCGAGATGACGTCTGTTGTTATTGTCTGCGTTAGAGTGGGTGGTTAGGAGCACATCTGGAGTCCTCTGCTTGGGTTCAATCCCAGCTCTCTTACTAGCTAGCTCTGTGACCTTGGGCAAATTGCCTAACATCCCTGCACCTTAGCATCCTGGTATCTAAAATGAGATTGACTGTGAAGATTAAATGAGTTATGTAGGTGAAGAACTTAGAATAATGTCTGGCACAAAGTAAGCACTCAATAAAAGTGAGTTAGTATTATTCTTCGTTATTAATATCACTAGCATCCTTCTCCCTTTGTTCTGATAACAGATTGCACCCCATCTCCTACTCCCCAGACAAAAAGGTGGGCATGGGACTCAAGACAGTTCCCCAGAGTATCTTTCCTCCTTGGCCACATTGTTGGATATGAAAGGTGTGCAGTTGCTCCAATCTGGGCCAAGCGCCAATCTGAAAAACCTGGGGAAGGCCGTCCTCTTGGGACGGGTGAGGGCTGTGTGGGGTCAGCTGGGAGCTGCCTGCAGCCATGGAACACTGAATAGGATGCTGGTCTGGGGATGCTGGGCGTCGCCTGTTCTCTTTCTGGGGCTGGATTCTGCAGTGCCTTCTTTGAACCTCTGAGACACCCCTAGACCCGCCCAAGGTATCCCATTTTTGCTTAAGCTCATTTAAGCTCGGTTCTGTCACCGGAAACCAACAGTCCTGACTGGCAGCAGCATTCAACGGTTGGCTGCTTTATCACCACTCAAGCCCGCCCAGGAAGAAAAGCCAGCTGCACACTCTCAGCGAGACCCAGGCAGCCAGGGAACCGCAAACGTGTGCAGCAAGGTGTCCTACAAACTGCAGGGAGAGGAGGCCGCTGCTAGCTCCTGGACCAGGGCCCTTCCTGGGAGAGGAAGATGCTGGAACCAAAAAGTGAACAGCCAGGTCCTGCAGTGCCTGGCTGGGAACACAGCCTCAGACCTGGGGCCCCCTCGCCATGAGCATTGGGAAAGGGGAAGCAGGGAGAGAAGGAGACTGCAGCTGGTTTTCACTGAGTTCACAGTGGTGCAGGAAAGCAGCCAGGCAGCTACTTGAAACAACCCTTCTAGAGAAGGAAGGAGGGTGGGTAACAGAGGAGAAATTACCTTGTCTGAGCCCTTAGATATGTGTCAGACTCTTTCACTGATACGATCGCATCTGACCTTCAGCACAACCGTAGGATGCTCACCAACCCATTTTCCAGTTGAGAAAACTGAGGCTCAAAGAGCTCAATAACTTGCCAAGGTCACACCCCTAGTGCCCGACCCCTGGCCCACCCGCCAGTCACACCACCTCCTCAACACACTCTGACCCCTGAGCTGAGGCCTCCTCCTCTCAGGGCCCATCGGCTGCCACTCACACCAGCCTCAGACCCGCCCAGGGCAGACGGCCGTGTGCTGCTGCCCCCTCATCTGCAACTGGCTGTCCACCCCCACCCAGGGACAGCCTCCCAGAGGAAGGGGACAGGCGGCATCTTGGATACCCGCAGTGTGTCCCTGGGCAAGTTTCCTTCTCTGGACACTAGCTTTTGTGACCACCGAGAGCTCCGTGTGATGTTAATGAGATGGCATTCTCCACGTCTTTTAACGGGGGTACACTTGTCAGAATCCCATGGGGACCTTCTTGTTTTCTTCTCAGACACCTTTCCCAAGAGAGTCTGACTTCACGGGTACAAGGACACTGCCTGACACGCAGCACTGTGCTAAACAATGTTACCTTTACTTCATCTCATCTTCTCGCCACCGTCTGGGCCAGCACCCAAAGTCGGTCTATTGCTGCACCTCCACGCCTTCTAACACTCCCTCTCAATTCCCTCCAGGAAAAAAGCTCCTCCTTCAGATGTGTTTTAAAGGGTTTTAGAAAAACAGAGACAAACAAAGAAAACCCTGGCCTGGTAGCAAAAAGAACCAAAACACACTGATGGCGAGACAGCTGTGCCCCAGCGTTAGCCGTGGGGTGAGCACACGAACGAGCACACACAGCGTCTTCTTCCACGGTCCCCGGGAGCCCACACCAAGGTCTGCATGGGCT